TATATATATAATATACAGCGTGATAAAAAAAAACGTTACAACTTGTTTTGTATATATCTTCCTCCATACTGAAGTTTTGCGTTTCAGATTTGAACATAACGTTTGGAAGCCAAAAGGAATTTTTCTGATATGTATTTTAAATAAGTCCGTTGAATGGTTTTGCTCTATATAATAGCCCATTAAAAAAACAACCCATTTTCAACCTTGTCGCCATTTTCATACCATGACGCACCAATTCGCATTAGGCCTACCACTAAAAGTTGCAGCAATCGCGCCATATTGCAAGCTACAGCAGTCTAACAAGTTAACAGAAGTCCGCAGATATTATTTCCCCAAATTTTGTTTGCCTGTTGAGATCATGGCTACGTTTAGTAAAGAGCAGAGAGCTTTTTGTATTGAACATTACCTCTCCACAAACTCACCATCCCTGACATTTCGTAAATTCTGCGCACGGCATGAGAGAATGCTTAGGTGCCCTCAAGACATTTGGCGTCATGAGTAGAGAAGTTCCGTCAGTTTGGATCTATAGCGATTCAGAACTAAAAAATTCTTTAAAAAATGACCACTTCAGGTCGAACACGCACCATGCGCAGCCCCTTAAACGTCACCAGAGTGCAGATTTCAGTAGACGAGTCCCATAAGACGTCTGCCCGTAGAAGATCTGGAGCTAGGACTTTCCTACACATCAACAGTCTGCATTCTCATGGCAGATCTTAACCTACGACTATACCATGTTCATCTTCGCTAGGCCGAGATGACATGGATCAGAGCATGGCAATATGTTCATGATTCCTCGATTGTCTTGTAAAGAGGGATAATTTCCTTGGTGGCTTTTGGTTTAGTGCTAAGCCCATTTTCACCCTGAGAGGATATGTTGACTCCAAAAATGCTGTCTATTGGGTACCCCACTCTATTGTCTCTAAAAGCCACTTCTTAGTGAACATTTACAGTGTATGTGGCTTTACAAACTCATGGTTTAACAGGTCCTTGTGTTAGGGCGCCACTGAACATTTCGAACGACGCGTTAAAAATGTGTCGAGTCCAAAGGAGGGAATGTGGAACACTGTTTCTAGGAATTTCTGCATAATATCATTAGGTTTTTAAAACTCTGTAAAAGAAATTAAATATTGTTTAAATGTCACAGGGATGGAAAATTAATGTCAAGGAAAAAAAAAAGAAAAAGGTCAACTAATCTCTTCACCACTTCCTTTACAAGATTTTAAAACTTTGGTGAACTTTGCGTTTTTTGGGTGCTTTTTTTCTCTTAGCCATTTCCGTTTTGAAAACATGTTTCTTCTTCGTGGATTTTATATCAAACAAATTCCTTTTGAATGAATTTTTGCTCGAGATATTCAGGAAAAAAGTTGTAAAGTCTTTTTTGGGATCACATTGTATAATATATATCTATCGTATTATATACATATATATTATATAAGTATATATTTATATATTTATACACTCACACACTCTCTCTCACTCACACACACACACACACACACACACACATACACACAGGCACACACTCAAAGACACACACACACACACACACACACACACACACACACACACACACACACACACACACACACACACACACACACACTTCCATACACATGCGCCACACAAAACTATCACTTTACTACTCTTATAAAACAAATATAATAATAATAATAATAATAATAATAATAATAATAATAATAATAATAATAATAATAATAATAATAATAATAATATGTCCAACCCTTTCCTTTAGTAATCTTCTCCCACTCTCTTACAATCCCCAGTTCGTGGCACACCCAAACTGCCAGCAGGTCCTAGCCTCACTCTGGTACGAGGGTCTGCCTGGTTTCCGGCGCCGGTCAATGATGGCCAAACTGACCATCATGGGGGTCATCGGCATCATGTTCCCCATCCTGTCCCTGGTCTACCTCATGGCGCCAAAAAGCAGCGTGGGACAACTGGTCACGAAGCCCTTCATCAAATTCATCGTTCACTGCTCCTCCTACCTGGTGTTTCTCTGTTAGTATACGACAGCTTTTTCTAGATGAATCGTTTGTGATGTTGCTATTGCTGTCGTCGTAACTGTGTTATCCGCAGCAGCTGCAGCTTTTGCAGGAGAAAAGCTTCTTAGGGTTTTCATGACCATCATACACGTCATCCTTGTCATCCTCATAATCAGCAGTAGCAGCAGCAACAAAAACAGGCTCATAATCATCATCCTAATCATCACCAGGAGCAACAGGAACAGCATAGTTAGTATCATCATCACAATCATCATTATTACCAGCAGCAACAGCAGCAATATCGTTATCATCATCATCCTCATCAATAGCAGCAGTAAGAAAGGTGCATCATCACCGTCTCTATTTATAAAAAACGAAATAGTGGCTGGATGGCTATGGGTGCTTTTGAATGGTTTGCTCCTTCTTTCATATCAAACATTAGTATTAATATTATGATCATCCTTCTCTCTCCTTTTTTGGTATGTCGCTTCTAGTAACATCGCTAATCGTTAGCACTTATATGACCAATATGTGCTGCAAGTGCTGTAGAATTCCTACAGAAACTAAAACCAATCAACAACAAAATGCACAGGCCTGGAAACTGCTCCGTGTACCGAGAAATATGTCTGTGGCAGAATTGAAAAAATTAAAAGTTAGATCTTTTTAATAATTTCTTAGTCACAGAATTATATAATATTATTATTATATTCATAATCATCATGAAATTTAGTCTCTATAGATGACACCTAGCTATCTGAACCAGAACAACGTCAACACCATGATAATAATGTGAGGATGATAATAATAATGATGATAATCATCATCATCATCATCATCATCATCGTCATCATCATCATCATCATCATCATCATAATGATAATGATAATGAAAATAATAATAATAATAAAATCAATAATAATAATAAAAATAATAATAATAATAATAATAATAATAATAATAATAATAATAATAATAATAATAATAATAATAATAATAATATTAATAATAATAATAGTTTGTCTGCCAAACCACCAATGCAAATGCGGAGGAGAATATTTCTTAAAGTAAAATATAGAAGAAACAAGGATTAAGATGACTTAAATGGCTTCTGTTATTACCAGATCAATTCTGGAAGACAACAGATTGTCACAGTTTGACCATTTTATTATAACTTGATTTTCACCAATGGCTATGAGCAGTTTGGTAGTGCTCTTTTAGTTTCAGCATTTTTAATTCTTGAAGCCTCGGCAACTTAAAATTAACATTAGAACAATTTCATTAACACCAATAAAATCATGTAACACAAAAATAGAGGAGAAAAGTGTTCACATTATTTAGAATCAATTTATCTTTTTTTTAACATTTAATCAAACGTTTAGATTTAATGCTATTCAAAATTGTTTCATGTGTCCTTTGAATAATTTAGTTTCTTTCTCACTAAAAACCAAGGGCTTTTGTCTGGGAAAATGTTCGTTTTTCCCTCTCTCGACTGTTTAGAACAAGAGTCTCAAACTCACTGCCCCCGGGCTAGTAAAGGAAGCCCACTGGAAGTTAATATTTTGTGGTCCCTTTTTTACCCAAGTTAAGTTTTAGTGAGGCCCAAACGTGGCTGAGATATGTAACAGAATGCGCTGCCAGGCCTCTGACAGCAAGGAGTTAGTAACAAAAGTTGTGGTTCGAAAAACCGTTCATGATCTGAACTGCTATTAATATAGATTGAGATGATAAGATCAGCTGAACTTTTTTGTAATTATACTTGAAACCTTTTTTTGTGGAATGCTTGATGCAGCACAGACTCACCCTCACACTACTTATAGCGGCCCCCGGGTAATTTGGATTTGAGATCCCTGGTTTAAAAGGTCGTATCTGCTACTGTGATCAGTTGGAGTGTTCTCCATTGATAAGGTTTGTTTTGGCTTACCAAGAGTTGTGGGAAACTCTGTGTTAATCGTCTAAAATGTTGCTTCTCTGAAGAAGAAAAAGAAGAAGAAGAAGAAGAAGAAGAAGAAGAAGAAGAAGAAGAAGAAGAAGAAAAAGAAGGAGGAGGAGGAGGAGGAGGAGGAGGAGGAGAAAAAGAAGAAGAAATAACTTTTATGCCCCCACGCAGCTGAATGAGCTCAATTTAGCAAAAATTGTAAACACGCCTCACAAAAAGTGCGCTAAATTATCGTTGCAATTTAAGAGAGAAATCAAGACTATAAGTGCGGTCAAAATTTGTGGCCCAACGTATTATCTAATATTTCCTAAACTTTCGAACAAAGACTCTCCAGCTTTTGCACAATGACTTGTATCACTTTGTCTTACCAGATCAATATTTTTGTAAACACCTGTTAGCTATATCTAAAAAAATCCTTGATAAATTAATACTAGGGCCTACATGTAATTAAAAATCCAAAGGGATGGTTCCTGCAAATTTTAAAAGGTTTATAGCAGGGCCAATGCTGCTTTTAAAAGCAAGTCCATCATAGAACGAAAGTTTGGAGAACCGTTAGTGCAAAATGTATTCTATGTAAAATTAATTTCTTGTAACAACTTAAGCCATTAAAAGGTATAATTGGTGAGCTGCAACGTAGGCCATATACGAATGCAAAATGTGTGTGAGAAGCGGGAAGTGCTGTGAACAACCCCATGTTTCGCGTGAAGGAGATTTAAAGTATTTTATATACATTTGTGAACATTGTGAACAATTTTTTTTAAATATTTACCTTCAGTTATTGTGGGAAAAATATGACTAAGTTAAGACAAATTGATGCAAACAGTTCAACAAAGTATGGGTTACATTGGTTCACCCGTTAAATAGATATTTCAGGAAAAGTTACGCCACGAATTTATGACCGCACTATTGTCGTGAGATAAAAGAGAAGGGATAGCATGACATCAGAGAAATAATTCTAATATGTCAAGTTCCATTTTTCTTTCCTTTCTCTCTCTCTCTCTCTCTCTCTCTCTCTCTCTCTCTCTCTCTCTCTCTCTCATTGCTGTGAGGTTTATTTCTCTCTCTCCCAGTTCTCCTGATTATGGTGTCCCAGCGAGTGGAGGTCATCAACATCTACGGGAACAAGAACAATGTGGACAAGAATGGCGCCAAACTGGAGCTCCGCGGCTCCTCTGCCTCCCTGGTGGAGTGTATCATACTAGCCTACGTAGCCGGTACTGTGGATTTGAGAGGCATCGTGGTGAAATCAGGCGCACGTCAAAATCCTGAAATCCAATAAACCGGCATTTTTCTGCTGGTTTGGCAATTTTTATTAAATCTTTCTCTGTTTTGTCTCAACATCTTTTATGTCTATTAAAATACACATTTATGTGTGGATTTTACCAAAAATTGTTGATTAGAGGAACAAAAACTGTAAATTTTCAGTTTTTAAGGACTTTCAAGCTATGGAAGTCTCCAAACTTTGGCAGCCTTTTTTTTGTGGCCAATTATGCCTCTGAACCCGGTGACCTCCACCTCCTTCAATCGAAAATATCTTGCTTTTGTTCAAGATAGAAGGATTTTTTGACATTTAAAGCAAGGTCTTTAACTTGATGCCTATTGCTCCAAATACCCAAAAATTGACGAGCGCCTGATTCCACTGTGTCGGGACACATTGTTTTTCTTATTGCTTAGTTGTCTATCTGCTGTCTGGGGGTTTCTTACCTGGCTCAGATGTGAATGTGTAATGGTAACGATAGCTGCAAGTTCCCTTGTGGATTGTGTCATACTAGTCTACGTAGCCGGTACCGTGGATTTGTTTGTCTTATCGATTGGTTCGCTACTTCAGAATCCCTTGTTACACAAAGACACTAGACACGACATTACCCCACTTAGAATTACAAAGTTCTATGAGGCATTTTTGGCTGTTTTGAGCTATTAGGACCATGAGGTCAGAAACTAGAATGTCCTTTCGTCTATATCAAAATCGTAAGATTATATGGAATCGTTATCAAGATATTCAAAGAATTGCATTCGAAAAAGTTAGGCTTGTGAAACTCAGATTTTTTAACGCTGAATTTCTCCAACTTAGATGCAGTGCAGATAGAACTTTGTACTTCTGAGGTAGCAAATGGTCAATCAAGAGTCTGGAAATGTCATCTCTGGCTCAGATGTTGACATGTAATAACCCGCCAATGCTTACGGTCGCTAGCGGTCGTCATACACTGTCATACTAAGGCCAGTCAATGTCTTGTTATTATGGGTCCTCGTCGTTCTTTTTTCCCCCTTGGCCCTTTTACACCACATTTTACTTTCGAGTATATCCTTCATAATGGTGTGGTAACGTTTTATATGACCAAAGTATTGTATTGTTTTTAGTTCTTCATTTGGTTAATCAGGGTTTGTCTTGTGTGGAGAACCTGACGCACTTCTTTGATTGGTTGTACATTTTACTGCTCCATCGATTTAATCTAGATCTTGTAGAGTCGGCTTACTCTGGCCTGACGTTGCCTGTCAGAGAAATACCGGGAGTAATTTGTGAGATATAGATTCCCAGCACATAGAGACACTTGATCATCTATTTATCTATCTATCTATCTATCTATCTATCTGTCTGTCTATCTATCCATATCTATCTATCTATCTATCTATCAATCTATCTATCTATCTAGCTATCTATCTATCTATCTATCTATCTATCTATCTATCTATCATTCTATCTATCTATCTATCTATCTATCTATCGATGTCTCTTGTCCTGCGGTCAAGTGCTTTGCTTTCAGCATTTCAAATGTTTAGTTTTCTTTCAGGGAAAAAGAAGGGGGATGGGGCCTTACGTTCATGCTCATACAAAATTAATGCGTTAGAATTAATCTCAAACGATAATAATATCTTCTTCTTGCTTTCAGGTCTATGACATTGGCGGGTGCTTTGATGTGGTTTGCTCATTCTTTCCTGTCAAACAGCTGTAGTCCTTTTCACCTTTTTTATTTTAATCAACCATGAATGTAACTGCTTTATACACACGTCTAATCTTCGGCGCTTGCCTGAACTACAGTCGGAACTGTCTAAGACGGACACCTATTTTCGAGGAGAAAAGTGGTCGTCTTAGACAGGTGACCGTAAAATACAATGCCATTATAATGTATTTTAAAAAATTAATACGCAAACGAGTAAGTGGCCGTTTCTAAAGGTGATTGTCTATCTTAACTCAGGTGGCCCTCATAGTAGGTTCGACTGTATCTGTGTTGCAAGAGACGTAAAACGCTTCTTCGAATTAAATTAAGCTAAAAAGACATTTTCTTCTTTCTTTCAGGTCTAATGTGGAGCGAGATCAAGCAGCTTTGGGACGAGGGGGCGATCGAGTACATTCATGACATGTGGAACATTCTAGACTTCCTCACAAATTCTCTTTATATAGCAACGTTCACGCTTCGCCTTCTAGCTTACTTGCAGGTTGGTGTTTATTACATCGCACTCAGTTTGGAATTTGTTAATTTGTTTGTTTATTTGTTTGTTTATTGTTTGTTTATTTTGTTGGCATTTGGTTGTTTGGTTGGTTGGTTGTTTGGTTGGTTGCTTGGTTGGTTGATAATTTGCTTGGTTGGTTGGTGGTTTGGTTGCTTGCTTGCTTTGGCTGGTTGCTTGCTTGCTTGGTTGCTTGCTTGCTTGCTTGGTTGCTTGTTTGGTTGGTTGGTTGGTTGGTTGGTTGCTTTTGTTTTTTGTTGTTCTTCTTTTGTGTTGTTTCTTAATTTTAGTACTCATTTTCTTTGAATGTCTTGGTCCGTAGAGAACCAAAAGAAACCGTTTATTTTCTGGAAACTAGTTCTTATCCCCCCCC